TGTCATATGGCATACTTGATCATATGCTTCTCGTAGCTGTTTAGTAACTGTGTGGTGCGCGCTATTTACATCGACATAAGGAGCATATAACGACAGTCAGGAATAGAATGTATTTCAATAGAAGATCGAGATGGAAAGAGCAGAGACGGTATGAAAATGCAGGAATAATGAAATCTGAGACGATGCACTGATATTTGCAATAGGAACAGCCAGGTTTGAGATGTGGGTTGATATTTTGCAAATTAAGTATTTGCTGTATGGTTCTCAGATCTTATTGAGATATTCTCTGATTTCGTGTTCAAGTACATTTGGTTGCCCACATTCGTGTTCTTGTTAACTCTATAGTCCGTATTCTTCATTTCTTAGATGAATTAAAGGGTCTTGAGGACGTGATCCAACACCAAAGATTAGGAGAAGTGTAACTGAAAACTAAATGTCGATCTCATGCGATTATTTATCCTGGGTTTTGTTTATACTATGGAGATCTTGGTATACCGTGGTTTAGTTGACCGTTAAAAGTGGGAGAATTTGGGTTGGGTCGTTGAGATTTTACCGGAAACATCTTGGTAGCGTAAAAAAGTTGTAGGTCGTGTAGTTAATCACTTACTTATTTCACGTAGGGATTATATTTCTTATTTCATACTAAATGCGGTTGAGTGTGTTTAAAAAGAGAACTCCGCTGACTGCGACCACCAGAATGGTCTGTTCTATAGATAAAACGATGGATAATTACCAGCATAAAAATTTCACGTCAGCTATGACACTTCGCCTTCTAACCTGCACGACCCCACCAATTGTTTCATAAGTCGTTGAGTTTGTGATGATCCCTTGTTCTCAGAACCCGTGGGGTTAGTAATTGTTGTTGTCTCTCCAAATCAAAGAGCGACATACACTGAATTACGGCTGCCTCAAGTATATGGTGCAGGGCGATTTTATTCTGAAATTTTGTAACATTTCAGTCATAAGTGCACCTATGACTTGTGAGTATTTGGTTCGTTGACAGCGGAGTAACTTTTCTAAAACAGGGGTTTTATTTAAATAAACCAGATTCTTAGGTTTCCTGTTCTGTATCCTGGGAGTCTGAAATCATATGCAGCATTAATAGCAGTGAGTATCGGTTCAAACATTTGTGGCAAATCAACGGAAGTCTTCATGGATAAATTTTAGATGTTTGTGTTATCATTTAAGGAATTAATTGTATATGAATGTAAATATTGACGATTATGAAGATAAAAATATATATAAACAATGTGACGATTTTATAATCAAACAAACAGACTTAATTATGCGCTAGCTCAAGAACTAATTGTAGTGAATTCTAAATGCTAGTATCAAAATAATGATAAACGTTTCACTAGAAATTGTAGAAATAACCAATAATATCAAAATATAAAAATACACAGGTGAAATTCTGAACATTGCTTTGATCGTTCGGAGCAGCGTATTCGGTTTTTTGGGTCATGAAGTCTATAATTGTAATAGGTAACTATTATTTTTATATACGGGTTATAATCCGAAGCGACATATATCTGAGGTAATTCAGTAATATAGACACAAATAAAATTTGTACTTGTGTATAGCGATTATTTTATTAATATCTGAATGGGAGCTGAATAAGCACAAAATATATGGATGGCAGTGTATATGTGTTCGACAATCAGTATGTCATGCGACAGAGGGAAACACTTAACTTGAAAATTAGTGTTTAACTAAGAAAAAACTTTGTGATCTATGAAGATGAATATATAAATTACGTGGAATTCTGGAAAATATGAGCCTCTGTTTATGTATTTGTGAAATAATTATGCTAGCCATCTCTACAGACTACTTAGATTCTGATTATTTATCGCCTAACTACGGAAATACTTTGGAGCATGAAGTAAAAGCTATGATTAGAGACAGAAAGAAATTACTGACTATTTTATCTACTGTATGTCAATGACCCACTTCATCGATACATTGGCAAAAGATAACATTACTGAGACTTGTACCAATCCATTTCGATCGTTTTCTTTTTTAGATTTTAAGTAATTGATAAGTGGAGCTTTTTGTTAGTTTTGTGGTGACATTTCGTTTGTGCTCCACGTTTCCCAAATATATATACGGAAAGCTTTACAGCTGTACGGTAGAACAGAGTTCGAGCCGATATTCTTGAAGTATAAGCCGAGTAGCAAAATGACGAATGATCACATAATTGAGGATATTTAATATGTGCGCCCGATGACTAGCCGATTTAAAAGACAACAAAGGTAAAAGCATATGTGGTCGGGATTTTTCGAACATCAATGTGATAATCGAATACGGTAAAACGAAACCGAGAAAATTTGACTACATTGACTCTTTTTACAGTCAACTGCACTGGAAAATATATAAGATAGTTTTTGTTGCGACTATTTATCATTTTGTGTGAACTTAAGTGGCTTGAAGTAAAACAACCTAACCTCCACCAGCTAATCATAAGGCTGTTACTAACATTTAACAGCGTGACAACCTACCAACATACAACAGATCAAAAGCCAAAGATGGAGAAAACTATAAATTCTGCAATAAACAGATGATTCTGAGCAGTTGCTAGAACGGTTGTAGCACTTACAAGTAACAGCTGAGCAAAATTGGAGACGAAATTTTTTAAAATTTGTTTAATAAGATGGAAGTTACTGCATTTTGGGTTTTTGTTTTAATTGACAGTATTTCAGTATGGCATTTGAAAGTCGAGGTCATATGTGGGTTGTAAGTCTTCGTCCGTAAATTAAGTGTGTGTTAAAAACACTAAGTAATTGCTGGTAAGGATTGATGTTAGATGTTTTTTAAGATGGTTATTCGGTTTTTGAGGTCAGGAACATCACCGTTGATAGCAAAATCCAACTCACTTGTGGTTTTCAGGATAGAGTTATTAATTTCGGTTAGTGGTTTAGATGGAAAATTAGTTAGATATTTTGCAAAAACTGACATCACTTGTAATGCATGAATAATCTGTATTCTTTATATGTTTGTGATGAGCTGTTATAAATCAAGTGGATTTGTATATGAAGGCAACCCAATCTCCTAATTCTGGGTAAGATGGTATAGAAAATTTTTGGGAAATGGCACGAAAACCCAAAATTTTGCACGAAATTTGGAAATTCCTTGAAACTAGGGGTTTTCTAACAGGGAGATTTGGAAAATTTGGAAATGAATGAACAAGTAAATACATGGAAATAAGTACATTGTGAGAGTATAAAAAGGCAGGTAGGTGTAAATAACGTACATAAGTCTTAATTTAAAAAAATCACAACAGTAGTTTTCCGGGAATTTATGTGGGTGAGACGAATGAGTGCGAAGCAGTTTTCTTATTTTAATGTACGTTTTCAACTCCTATAACAAGCTTAAGAGGATGGTATATGGTTACATACGAGATTGTCCGGTCTCTTCTTGCATATCTACTAAGGGAGCTGTGGACACATCGTTTGAGAGAGCATCCTAGATAGATATTTTCGATAACGTAAGTTCGTTCTTCGATAGAAAACTGCTAATGTTATCCAAGGCAGCGATGTAATTCAACGTGGACTACTATACTATGGTGTCTCGAACCACTAGATGTTACACACGACTATTAAGTTACCTCTTACTCTTCTATGCTCCATGGAGAATAGTTTCAGGTGATTGTTCCTTTTCTAATAAAGTTAGTCCTCTAAAACTGTAACTCACGTCCAGCGCTCTTAAAAAGTTATGTCGGTGATTTGAGATTCTGACTAGTGTCATGTTCTTTTATTTATCAACGTGACGAGCATGTACGTTCTCTTCGTTCTGATCTCTCGCCACTCTGAGCATCCTATGCCCGAACATCATCTATATTGTCAATCGGTGTTAAGTCTTCCACAAAATATGTATGACCCCGGCCTTCCAGTGTTTCCAGTGACAAACTGGTTTCATCATATAGTATTAAAGTATTCTTTGTCTTGGAATCTGTCTACATGGTTAAATTAAGGCGCAACTGACATATCGTTTATGAGAAAATGCGTTGATTATCTTTTTTGTCTATACAAAACCGTTCAAAAATATCCGAATCCTTTGGATATTTCTTTGTTCTCTTTTATTTAAACGTGCAATACTAGTAAATTCAGTTATCGAGCGTTAGGCTGACCCAACAAGTATTTTTCTAGTGAAAATGGGACTGTGTGTGTAGTGGTAGGTTACGTCGAAAGGAATGACAGCCTATTTCTTGAGTTATTCAGTCGTTGCTCATGGAGTGACAAGCATTACTAACTTTTTTAGATCATGCATTTTATGTCCAATATATGACCTTATCATTACTAATAACACCAATATTTCAACCCCTTTACTATTAGCCGTGGTAATTCACCTCACATTAATATGATGCAATAGCCTAATGTCCGCTACAACGTAGGACCAGGCACATATATGCATCGGTCCATGTTGCCATACATCATTAGCACAGCGACATGAATACCGGATTCATAGAAGTAGTTAATTCAGTGGTGGTAATATATAAAAGAAAGATTGCATAGCACAGGAAAAAAGAATTAGTTAATGTACTTTTGTGTCAGGCTGTAAGTTGGTCAAAATGGATTTAGTGCTTCTTCGTCTCATACTAACTTTCCTTTCTTCACTTCGTTTTTGCTTTCAATTCTGGGACCTCATCGGTACGTAAATCTCAATTTTCTGAAAAGCTTCTCTAATGTTGGTATTACCGCTTCATCATTCTATTGCAACAGATACAGGGTATTCGATGAACATATACATAACATCCTTCCATGCATCCAGCGTCTTCCATGAAGAAATTGCTCCCAACATACTTTTCACCGGATAACATTGTAACATTTCGGATTGTCGTGACGCATTTAACGTAAATATACTACGCTTTTTTCGCCAAATTTACAATTTTTTTGTTTACCCGTTTTTCTGTCTCGATTTAGATGAACAATTTTGTTGGACATACGATCTGAAGAAGCTAGTTCGATTTCCTCTAAGACCAGTTATTTACCCCAATAAGATTTGTTATGCCAAAAATTGAGTATATTGGTCGTCCATCTTTACACTTCTACGGCAAGCTCCTGTCAGAAATAGCCAAAAACCTTAAAAACCGCGCCAAGGGTAGAGTAGTAATAAAGGAAACTGAAACAGCAGAATTCAAGGAGCCATGCTATTACATTTTAAAAAATGTTGTTCCACTTATGTCTGATAAAGTTAGTCATATTTTCAATAATATGCTTCTGTCTATGCGAACTCCATATTTCAGTTCTTCAAATCTTAGGCCTTTGGTAAATTTAATTCAATCGTTTACATTTTTACAGGTTTGTAATGTAAATAACGTAAATCTAACCAGCTGTCAAGTAATAATCTTCATCAGTCAGTCAGTCAGTAACAACGTAGAACTTCGTACGTACGTACATCAGTTCGAGTTGCCACACCACATTAGCATAGAGATGCAGTGGTCGATTCAAATCCCGTAATGGCAGAGGTAATAAGAGTATAAGCAGTAATCGGGAAGATTAGTGATTGGAGATGTTAATTAAAGAGTATAATACAGTGAAATAAATTTGAGGGGAGAAAAAAGAGACAAGGAGGAATAAGAAGATCAAAATTTGGGAGAACACAAAGAGTGTATGCACCTGCGCCGTTGCAAACGATTTTGAGCCATGTCATTCAGGGTCTCCAACCATCGGTTGCTATCATCTCGCGGTCCCCAACCAGGTATCCTACACCTACCGACATGACTCAGACCATTTGTCAGTGACTTCATGGACTTGTGCCATGTTTTGGTCTGGCCGCCCCTAGCTTTCTTCCAACCTACTCCTATACCACTGAATATCGCACGTCGAGGCAGTCGGTCGTTGGGCATACGTAACACGTGTCCCAGCCATCTCAACTGATGAAGTTCCACTACTTCGTCGATTTATTTGCCATCCTTACCTAGTACCCGTTTCCTGACAACTGCATTACTTACTCGATGGTCCCAGGATATACGAGCAATATTTCGAAGACACCTATGATCAAATACTAGTAACCTACGAATATCCTCTACTCTTACCGGCCATGTTTCACTGCCATAAAGTAGGACGGAACGAACTGCTGCGCAGTAAACCTGTCCTTTGGTTGATAGACGCAAGTTGGTAAAAGCTAGTCGAGTCTTCTGTATCCGTTCTGAGATTTCGTCACACACCAGACCACAAGGGCTGATGAGACTTCCAAGATAAGTGAAGCGATCGACACGCTCAATTACTTCACTCCCTATCATTAGTTCGGGTGTCAATGCAACCCAGTCCTGAAGCAACATTTTGCATCCCGAACATGCTTGCATTGTTGCTTAGAGTAGTCAGAAGACTACATTTTGTCAGCGTCTTCGCCAAATAAAACTATGTCATCAGCATATTCTAAGTCAACAAGTGAACCTCCCGGTAGAAGTTCAACCCCTGTAAATTTAGATGAGGAAAGTGTTATCTCTAAAAGTACGTCAATGACAAAGTTGAACAAGAATGGAGATTGATGAATCCTCACCAACAGTGATATACATTTATTAATATCACCTACTTGTTTCTTTTCTTTATTTGAACACATAAATATTGGTACAAGGAGGTACCAGATACATATGCGCTACATAAATCTCAATTGATTTGTGTGAGGGCTGTGATACTGCTCGAGTGCCCAGACCGAAACACGTTTTCTTAGGGAGCCACACCCGGAGCCTTCGACCTGAAGGTCTGATCCACAAGGCAGTGGAGCATCGTAAGGAGATGCAGTCCCATGGTAGTCGGTGACCAACGATCGGTTCATACGCCATTTATTCCCTCAGGGTACTGGAGCCCATGTGCACTATTGGTTTGGAATCAGGGTTTTTCAACTCCCCTAGGTGGACTCTCCATGTCCACCAACCCGGTTAAAGCGTCGGACATTCGTTTTTCGTCCTCTCAATTTTGTAAACAACACCCATGGTGCGAGAAGTTAGTGAGTAGGACTTCCGTGACAGAGGCTGTATATGCATGGCCATGTGAGAGCGTTTCGAAAGGGAGAGCGGACTCTCCCCACTCTTGGCCGTACCAGGGTATTTGGGGGGACATATCACCTACTTGCCTAAATTGAAACAGGTGAAGTCAATAAATAATGTTTTTATGATTGATGGTGGCCAGATATTTTGATCGCCAAACTAAAGCTTCAGTAAACTACTTAATAGTATTGAAGTCTCAAAATTTGAAAGTGAATATATGGCGTTCCAAAGAACGGTTCTGTTTTCGGCCATTAATGTTTGTTTATACATAAAAGAACGAACAGTTTAAATCGAAGAACCTCTTTATTTTCGAGTACTTTCTTCATCAAAGCAGAGCTTGTTATGTTTCGTTTAAAAAAAAAACTTTTAAGGGCTGGATGAGTCAACTTTTGTCGAAGCATTGCATGAACGCCTTCATATTCTATTAGATCTTATTCGAATTAATTTTACTTAAGACGGGAAAATCAAGTCCATCATTCATTGTCTCCTATATTAGAGGATACTGACCAACAGAGCGATGAAACGACACACTTTGGAATGGATGTGCTTTCCTTTGATTCCTACACTAGTCGTAGTCAAATGGTTTATATCAACTCAAAATCCTCACCTTTACTTGATAACAAAAGTTCAGTCAGAATACAAATTCAGTCTCTGTAGGACTCAGAACACGAATATGGTGATTTATGGAATTCTCAGTCAACTTTTGTAAAACTGATTTTTGTCTGTGTTCAGTATATTTATGGGAAATTAATTAGTCACATCAACTACTCCATCCCTCCGGAACTTTACACTTATCTGCTTAATTACATCATTTATGTGCTCTAGGAACGAGTATTTGTATTAGTTTCGACATACTTATCTGTCAACTAGGTATTCAATATAGAGTGTAAATGTAAGCCTAGATCTTTTAAACTTCATCTAAATAGTCATTTTGGCGATTACCTAGTCTATCATGTTAATTTCATTGAACTTGATGAAATATTTCACATCACAGTTGAGTGATTAATGTTGTTATAATTGGTGTAGATGAAGCCTAATTTGGTCTACTACATGTATTTCTACTGAAACGTTTTACTTATCACCTTTTGAAAAATAACTTACTGCTTCAAGTAACTTGAATATGCTGATGCTAAATAATCTGATCGAATGTGTTTACGTTTACGAGTTTATTTTTGCTGCTGAATTTCCTATTTTATCATCAATTATCTGGGTTCATTTTTATAAAGTCTGATGTTAGATGTAGAGCATGGGGTATACGGGTATTCCGTGGCCGAAATCTTGGCTATTGTCTCCTACCAAATACCCATGAACCAGATTGGCGTCTTCTATCACCTAGTGAAGCTGAACGTCTAACGTCCATGTCAACAAAAACTGATTTGGTCGCTCCGGATGTTCCAGTTAGCTGCGTTGCTCAAGCTCCCCCTTTATTGACAATATTTTTACGAAGAAAAAATGTACTTCCACCACAAGTAGTGGAAGAAGCTGAAAAATCTACTCACTCTTTAAATATACAACAATCAATGAGAGAAGCTAGTGGTTTATTATTGTTAACACCTCACCGCTATGATCCAACAAGTTTCAAAGTAAGTATTGTTTCGGTTTTTAAACTAAATTTATAAATTCGTTTACTACTTCCTACCAGTTGTTTTGTTTTCTCTCTCGGTATGTCTCACCAACTATGAGTGAATGAGTGAGCCAATCGCAACGTAGAACCTGGTATGTGTGTACATACTCCATTAGCACAGAGAGATGAAATTGTCAGGCCGAATTCCAGAGTAGTTGAGGTGATAATAGTATGAGTGGTGACAGAAATGACGGGACATCGAAGATAAGATTTAAGAAAATGTAAACTAATGAATTGAAAACAAAAAAGTTCTTAGGAATTCAGAAGCTCAGGATTTGGGGGAAAACAAAGAACGTATTTACCTGCCCCATCGCAAACGGTTTTGATACATGTCATTCAAAGTCTAACCATTGGCTACGGTAATCATATGGGTCCCAACCAGGTAGTCTACACCCATTAACATGGTTCAGTCCAATGAGTCAACTTATGCAGCTACTATTTGCAATAAGCGATCGATACCCCCTAAGATATTCTAATCCGTCCACCTAGACTACCATCCTGAAGTACGGTAAGACTAGACAAGTACTGCACATCATTATATATTATCCAAACTGTAAAACGCATTTTGCAGTGAACGAGAACACAGGTGGGGACAACCGAATGTATGTGAACACAAAATCACAGAACGTCTTAGTAAAGTCTGAGAACCAGATATTAAGTACTTCATTTGCAAAGTGTCAATCAATCGTCTCAGACTTCATTGTTCTTTCGTCTCCACACTAATCATTTCCTGTCCTTGTTTTATTCTCTTCGATCTTCTTAAACATTTGCATCCAGGCATTTCACTAACGATTGATGATACATACTACTTATATCTGTCAATATCAGTAGCACACACCACAATGCGATTATATGTATACAATAAAGAACCATGATACACCATAAATAATACATTTCAATGTATGAAAAACTAGGACATCTATAATACAAAACTGAATAATAGGTTAACGATTAGATCACTGTTATTAATGGACGAAATAAAAGTTTACAATTAGAACAATTTCTAACACTACAAATCAATTATTTAATAAATTGCACATTGAAAAATATTTACACCGATTCACTGTTGAATAGCTCCTGAATTTTCCTATATCTATTTATTTACTCATTCATAACATTACTCTGTATGATTTTATGCGGTATATAATTTGACCAAAATTATTCATTCATAGTGGACACGGAGAGTCCACCTAGGGGAGTTGAAAAACCCTGATTCCAAACCAATAGTGCACATGGGCTCCAGTACCCTGAGGGAATAAATGGCGTATGAACCGATCGTTGGTCACCGACTACCATGGGACTGCATCTCCTTACGATGCTCCACTGCCTTGTGGATCAGACCTTCAGGTCGAAGGCTCCGGGTGTGGCTCCCTAAGAAAACGTGTTTCGGTCTGGGCACTCGAGCAGTATCACAGCCCTCACACAAATCAATTGAGATTTATGTAGCGCATATGTATCTGGTACCTCCTTGTACCAATATTTATGTGTTCAAATAAATAAATGAAATCATTCATAGTTGTGTAAAATAAAACACACGTGTAGGTTGGTGACAGATTTAGTCGTATACACGAGCTATTTGTTAATATTATTCCTTTCTCATCCAATTTGTCATGCATAGATTTGTGCTGTTGGTGCACATTCGGTTGGTTTAAGCTATTGTATACTAAATAGTTTATTTATCTAACTTCTTTAGAATAAAAACTACGTAGAATATGTTACTAAACTATACGAAAATAAACAATAAGCCATCATCAATGTAGTTGGTAAATACACCATCTATACTAATACCTGAAAGTTTTCATAGTTAACAATTGTTCATTAAGCAGGCTGATATCAATCTACAAATATTTTCAGAAATCTCAAACAGACTGTAGAAAATAATAAGTTTATTCTCATGAACTTCAAAAAAGTATAGTTTATTTCCTGTTCTTCAAATTTTGGCATTTCTTGGTCATACGACTGTGCTTTCTCAGCGCAAGAAAAACAACATAAACGTCGGATGAGATTTGATCAAGAAACAAAAACTTTCTGGGGGCAAAACCATGTTGTAAACGTACATTTTTCCTGAATTTCGTGCTGATACAGTGTATGACAACTTCAACTGATGAACGTATGTGCTAGATTGCTTACGCCACTTATGAATAACTGAATGTGTTGATGAAAATCAATGAAGTTTCACGATTAAGCAACCCAACTTATAGAACCTAACATTAATGAATTCCATGTTCTCAGTCAGAATTTTCACCATCTTAGAAACATGATTACATTCTGCATCCTTAACTCATTGATTATAAAAAAACTTAAAACATTTAATAATATTAAGAATTTGTATATTAAAATGACAGGCTTGGAGATGAAATATTATTGGATATAGACAACTGATTAATCAATTAATTGAGCTCTATTTCAAAAATGCTTTTTATTGATCTGTCTTATTTAGTCTATTGTTGTAGAGTTTTATTACGTCCTCAATATCTCAATAATGACATGAAGAAATCTATAAACAGCGATAACTGGAATGAAGAAAACCTTAAATTATGTAAAAAGAATATTCTCTTCAATAAATTCTCTTTAGGTTCTACAGTTGTATATCCAAATTAATAATTCAGTAAGTGGTCAGCTTTCGGCAAAATTGATCGTTTAAAATTAATGTATGTGAATTTGGGATTTTTAGTAATATATAATAAAATAAAATCAACAACTTGAACGTTTCAAATCAAATGTTGTTGATTGCTGCTGTCCGTTTAAGAACAGTCTATGCAAATGCAAATACATTTTAAGTAAAAAAACACACCGGGGGGGACCTATTAATGGACTTATTAATAACAAAAATTTGATTATTACGAAACCTGAAAAAGGAACAGGAGTTGTCCTACCAAACAAAAAAGACGACATTGACAAGATGAATAAAATCTTGATTGATAATCTAAAATTCCAAGAGAAAATATCAATGATATGATAGAGAATGAACTTACAATATTTTTAAAAACGTTTAGTGATCAACAGGTAGTCCCTTCAAACTTATATGAAACAATTAAGCCGATAGGTTCCCATTTACCAAGGCTATACGGACTACAGAAGTTGCTCATACCGGATATCCCATTGAGAGCGATTTTGGACCACAAACATCAAGTGAAGCATAGTGTTAAGGATGTAATCTTGTCCATTATCAAGGTCAGAAACATAAACACTAAAGGACAAACGATTATCTCCTCAAACGTAACATCATTGCTTACATTGTTTACGTCCCACTCAAGGATATTTTCAAAAATATACGTGAACAACTTAAAGAATAAGAAATGAAGACTACAATTCATGTGGACATCATTAAGAATTTATTACTAAAATATGCTATAAACGTAAACTTCAATTCAGTGGTGAAATATATGGACAAATAGATGGTGTCGCTACGTGTTCACCACTAGCCCCCATATTGGCTGTCATTTTCCTCACTAAACTGAAAAACGGTCCACTGGTACAGCATATTAACGAGTTTCTATCCTTTTTAACGACCATACTGACCAGATAGAGACACTCAAGCGATTTAATGAAGTTCATCCGTCTAATAAATCTACCTGTGAGGAAGTAAGTGAAAGTAGAATAGCCTTTCTTGATGTCGTACTTACAAGGGAAACAGACGGGTCACTAAGAAGAAGCTTAAACAAGAAAACATTTTGGGCTGGCAGGTATACAACTTTTCTTAGCTTTATTCTCTAATAATATAAAAGGAACCTAATTAAGACACTTCATTATAGAGTCCAGACCATTTGCTCCTTAGATACGGTTGGAGAAGAAATGAAGACACTGCGTACTCTAAAAGGAAATGGATATCCGGAGAAATTTATAAATAAACATTTAGCTATGAAAAGAGAGCATAAGGGAGGCCTGTCAACAAGACTGTAATTTAGAGGCGATGCATCCAGATAAATGCTAATACTAAAGTTGCATAAATCAATCAAAAGAACCTTTAATGCTGGTAAACTACAATTAGTGTTTTCCCCACATCTAATGATCACTCCGAGATTGAAAGATAAATCACCTAGACTAGCCTCCTGCTTCTGTGTTTGTCAATTCAACTGCTCATGTGGAGCAATCTATGTTAGCAAGTGATCCAAGAATCAGTATTTTCAGTCTCGCGAGCACCTCCAAGTTTGGTTAAGCAAAGGTATAGTTAAAACTATTAACAACTCGATTCTAGCTCGTTTAGTACGAGCGGGAGCACTCATTAACAATAATGTATCGTGTTGACAGCAATCTGCCTAAATCCATTAAACTATGAATCCTTCAGACGCCTGAAGCAATAGCTATTGGGATCAAAAAGGAGGAAGAAATATGTTCAACCGCTTCCTTTATCTTGGCTAACTCCTAACCTAATCAGTTAAAGATCATTTGACGATATGGTGGTATAATTTGATTAATGTTCATACAACCCTGCTCTTTGTATTTTCATAGTTTAAACTTAATTCCACATATTATTATTGTCAAAACACTTGCATACCCTTCGAAAAATTTATTCAGCATCCACCACTACTTACTAATTTGTACCTAATTGATATTATTCTACATATTACTTGATTTCTGATTTGCAACTACATTATTATCTATCTCATCCCACGTTAACCATATTTTTCTGATCATTATTTATCTCAATTTCATTTAACGTATAAACTTTTATCAAGTTAACTCTTCATATTAGTTATTCCAACATTATCGAATTAAAGTGTAGGGTTGTGGAGTTTGTTGAGTTTTAATTGAGATCATGAACCGATCAATGTTAGACCACCATTGAAAACCTGGGATCAATGGACCGCCGTTTCGTCCTAGTATGAGACTCCTCAGCAGTGCTCACCCACCAGTGGTCTAGAGGTTAAGTGTTCGTGTGCGAGACCGAAGGTCCTGGGTTCGAATTCCGCATGCGGGGTCGTGGACGTGTGCTGCTGAAGTGTCCCATACTAGGACGAAATGACCGTCCAGTGCTTGCAGGTTTTCAATGGTGGTCTAACATTGATCGGTTCATGATCTCAATTAACGATTTAATTTTACAGTCTTAAATTCACATACTATAATTTTTAAACGATGCATTTTACCTTAAACCTGACCATTTTTAGGATTATTAACTTGGATATATAATTGTAGAGCCTGAAGAGGATTTATTGAAAAGAATATTATTCGTTCATATATCTGTATGTGAACTATGTTTCGAAAGAAATATAACCGTCTACATTTTCATCTACAATTATCATTGAAAATTTATTTTATTACAACTTTTTACTCCTTAATATTCTTTCTCCTGCTTTCCTTGTTCATAAGATACCTATATTGTGTATTATTGTAATGTCTTTAAACAAAACTGATATGCTAGTGTGGAAACTTGTAACTGACTAGTGATTATTACTGCTGATACGGCTATTTGCTAAAATCGCAAAATACTTTTATCGGCTACTCATTGCAATAGGCCGAGACTATTACGTTGGCGCAAGAGAAAAACAACGTGACTGTAGAAGCAGACTGATTTACTTACCAACAACTACTAACTAAACATCTGCAGTAATGCTAATGATAACAATAGTAATAGTAATGAATTACACACCATTTTAAATGTTTAGGTTAACTAATAAATGGAATAGAACTAGTCGTTAATCAGTAATCTAAGGTATATAGAGTTTGCAAAATCATTAAGTTCACCGACTTGACTGAGAAACATAATTCATATACTTTGTTTGTTCTTATATTCTGCTTTATTACTTACGCCTGTTACCCCTCGTGGTGGAGTAGACTGCCCACCGGCATTCTTCACTAAACTCTTTCTTGGGCAGCATCATTGATGAACAAGGAGGGTCTGATGCAAACATAGAGGCTCTGCTTTGTTACAACTGATTCGTATTCATCCATTAACCACATCCCATTTGTTAGCCTACTCACAAGTTTTTCATTTTACTGACCGTATCCCGGATTTATTACTGTCATCTTCAGATCATCCTCGCTCTTAATAGTTTATGGTGTTGACGCACGTACTTCTAGCGTTATTGTTTCGTTTGAATTTCATACTTCCTTACTTTTAGTAACTGGTCATTTTATTTGTCTCTAAATTAAGGTTTTTGGTCATAGATGTGTTCGAAGCATTGCTTGTGTTTTGGGGAACGACTGAGTGACGTTGATGTTAGCCATGGAGTACTTGGCAAAGATAATAGACTGATTGATATTGTTGTAAATCTCCATTGACTGAAGTTGGGTATGTCTAAACACAACCCACCCGAACGAGCTATGCTTCATAGTTCAAAAGTAAGTTGGAATGATGCTAAACGAAAATGGGGCATCAGTGCATGAAGTCACAAACTATTAGAATCAGCCATGTTGGTCGATGCAGACTACTTGGTTGGGGTCCGCATTATAATCTTGATCAATTGTTGGAGTTGTTAACCAAAATCGTTCATAAATACGTCGGCACACTCACTCTTTATCGTCCTCTCGACTTTTAATCTCGGTATCCCGTCACATATACCTTTCGACTATGTCTTTCTATGACATATTCTCAAGGTTCAATGTTTCTTTTTATAGTTGCTACAGCATTATCAATCTCTTTCATTATTTTCGTATCATTGTGCTAATCTGATGTGGCAACTTGAATCAAGCCACATATGTGCCAGTCTCTATGTTGATGGTATATCTGTTTGTGTATCTAAGTGTTATTCGAAATTAAACCCAGCATTATTTTGCCTTTTAAATTCAACTTCATTCATGATAAAATGGCGTTATATTTGTAATATTTCAACGAGTTGAAAACTGAATTTCTTACGTTTCGGGACTCAGTTTAAATCGCTTCTTCAGAGAATAAATTGAAAACCGAACTAAATTACAAGTTTAAATGGTGCAGATAAACAAATCAAGAGATTTTTAATGCAATCAAAACAACTGTAATCATGATAATGTCTTGTAATTAATGTTAAAGATGAGGAATCATAGTAATGTTACGACTAAATAACCTGATGTCCAGACCTGTTGACATGTTAAAAATTCCTGTTACTGATCCGCAATCTAAAAGTAGGAATGCGACAAATGATAAAATCTCCACATGTGTAGCTTATAAATTCATATGATTAATTGGGTGAATTGTAAGGTTACAATGCACCATAAATAAAAAGTCGCATTATGTACTAAACTAATGGGCTCAGGGCACAAAATTAAAATGCCAGGCCTATAATTAGTGTACAATAGTTTGAGAACAGAAAAAGATTTGAAATCAGTAAACCAAATGGAAAGTTGTAATTCTGGGAGTTTGAAAACCCATTAGACTCAGTATTAGTAAATTGCATGTTACAAAATATGAATACTAATGTATCCAAAAACAATTCACAAAGCTTATCACTCTGATTTATCCACCTCAGCCTAACAACCTGATTGTATTGTCTGTGTATATTTCTTATCTTTTCCTATCTAATTTAGGTTCCTATTGAACCGACTTCCGAGGAGAAATCACGTATGTATCCTCCATATGAATGGTCAGCTAAAAAAGGATTAATTATAAAGCCAAATTTGGATCGAGATTCTTATTTAATTCGTCGATCTGATACACCTGGATTGTATTGGCGTGTTCATCTAGCGAAATCTTCCAAAACAGAACAAGATAGTGAAACAGTTTCATAGACAGGAAATTGTTATCAAAAGAACTGGATTAGCTATATTCTTGATTGTTGATAATACAGTACTTATGTATGTATATACTACTTCTATTACGTGTTTTATTTTATGCTATATGTGGTGAAATATTGAGTTCCTAAGTAAGTCATGTAGGACTTGTAGTAATGGTGTAATGCTTTAAGTTAATACATACTGCTATAATCCTGAATAATATCATCAGTCACAAAATGGTCGAAACTTATATTTAATACATAATTACAGAGCTGAACTATGTAATTATTTAATTTGTCGCAACGTTTGGTCGAAAATGGAACGATTATGAAGACTTGTCATTTGAGTGGATGTGTATCAACTGGTGGTAGATTTTCTCGGTCTACATCGCTAAACTGTAGTGATAGGAACACCTTTAAAGAATATTTATCCGTGACTGTTCAACAGTTTATTTTCCTCTTAAAGGTTCTTATAGTTAAAGTCAAGAGATGGCCTACTCGTACTAAACTTATGGTTGTCAACAATATAGGCAAACACTTCTAACATCAACTGCAGCGAATAAAAATCTGCCCTCTGTATCTTCAGGTAATTAAAAAAAGCAGTTAAATTCGTACTTTTAAAAAGTTGATTAGGTGTACAGCTATTACGAGCTGTTTTTGATGATTTAATCAATCCTAACGTAGAGGAATAGTGACAAGGTAAATATTTACTCGTAGTGTGGCGGACGCTACTCACAAGATTGCTTGTGAGTAGTATGTAGCGGGACGTGGCGTCGAAAATGTCACAGTCATCAGACGGAGAGAAGAGTCTTAGTTAATCAAAAGCACGACGAAGGCAGAACAGTTGGTGACCAGACAAGATGACAGTTCGGATCTCAGAACACACTGGATGATGCAAATGGATGATCGAAGGCCATGTATGCATATAGTAGACTAGCTCGGTATTCACCAACCCACATAATTTACAATACTGCATATGAGGAGTGGGAGTAGCATATAAATATTGGGATGGATAAATCGTTTGATTTTCGGCCCTTTATGCCAGTCCAGTTACGCTGAATCAAGCGAAGAAATAAACTATGGATAATGAAGACACTAAGAGTGGTATGGAGCTTAGGAAATAATTAAATGAGTACTGGACAGTTTTATGTTTAAACACAGAGAACGCTGGATGTGTGGTTGAATATATTCCTTTAATCCTTCCTGTCCTGTACATGACCAAAGAACTAACCGCATTTGCCCGAAAACTAGGTTTTTTGCTGGAGTAGGTAAACGCTTAAAATTAATTTTACAAAGTCAATGACAATTAGTGCAGTTGCCAGTCTTTGGTTTAAGCCGCATTGTTTTAAGTCTTAGGAACCATAAGTGACAACTTAAAATTAGTCTCCATAGTTTAGATAAATCCTTTAATATCTTATTAACGTGTCCAAAATAGAATATGATTTATGTCCTGTATTCCGGAAGTAGTCTATTGGGTTTATCCAATTGTTGTTCATTCTTATGTCTATCTCCAATTCTCAGCGTAATGTGTTCTTTGGCCTTAAGGATCCCAAGTGATGGCTTGCCTGGTGACGCAGCTGGGTGCTTTCCTCAATGTGTGTCATATCCACTTCCAGCGACTTTTCCTGTTTTTTTCCTCCGCTGGGATCTGGTTTGTTCTTTCTCACAGTTGGTTGTTGCTAATAGCGCCTGACCAACGGATCCGAAGTATTTAGCGTAGACAGCTGTTAATGAACACTTGTATCTTCTGGATGATGGCTTTCATCATTCTCCAAGTTTTCGTCCCATACAGTAGAGCTCTCTCGACATTTGTATTGAAAATCCTGACCTTGATGCTGGTTGACAGGTGTTTTGAGTTCCAGATGTTCTTCAATTGTAAATATGCTGCTCTTGCTTTGCCGATCCGTGCATTCACATCTGCATCACACTCACCATGCTCATCAATGATGCTGCCCAGATATGTAAAGGTTTCTACATCTTCCTAATCTCCGTTAAGTGTGATTCGATTGGTGCGTCTAGTGTTGTATCGGAGAATCTTGCTTTTCCTTTTGTGTATGTTGAGACCTACTGCTGCTGAGGCTACTGCCACACTGGTCGTCTTCTCCTGCATTTGTTGTTGCGTGTGCGATAGAAGAGCCAGATCATCTGTGAAGTCTTGATCATCCAGCTCCATCCTTACTGTTCACTGTATCTCATTCTTCTTCCCAGATGTTGACGTCTTCATAATCCAGTCGATCACCAGGAGAAGGAGAAAGGGTGAGAGTAAGCAATCTGGCCTGACACCGGTCTTCACGTCGAACGAGTCTGTCAACTGTCCTGTGTCATACAGTTGTCTCATGTTTCCTTCTCTTGCAGCCTTTTCCCCCATCATTGCTAAATCTTCCACATATTTACTTTTGTCAGTTCTGATGCTTCTCTTCACTTACTTGTTTACTTCTGTGTAGTCATATTGTGTGTTGGCTTTCTCTGCTCTTATTCGGCTGGTATCGATTGCTGCCTTCTTGTTCCTCCTTGAATCCTATCCAGTGTATCAATAGTGATCCATTCCTTGTGATGGTGCTTTTTATGGCCCAGAACATGACATGTTGAAGTGATTGCATCATTGATCCCCTTCCAGTTGTTCTTCATAGGAGTTCCCTTTCCATTGAGTAGATCGTGAAAGGTATGAAACCTATTGCTGAGGACTATTTTTGAATTCGTTGATTTTGTCAGTATCCCGAAGGAAGGCCGTATTAAACTTGTATGATGTTGTCCGCCCCGTTGTTCAGTGCTTCTTGAGTTTCAGTTTCATATTAGCGACAAGCAAGCTATATCAGCTCCTCTCTTGGTTCTCAAATCCTCCATTGTCCTCATGAACTTTTTATTGATGTAAATATAGTCGATTTTATTCTGTGTAGTGTGATCCGGTGAAATCCATGTGGCTTTGTGTATGCGTTTCTTTAGGAATATGGTGCCGCCTATGACCAGTTTATTGAAGGCACATAGATTTGCAAATCTCTCACAGTTTTCGTTCCTTTCTTCTGGTCCATAATGTCCCATGATGTTTTCATATCCAGTGTTGTCCATTCAGAATGCCCAGGTCCTTTACTGGGCAGTTCTCAACGATTGACTGCAGCCAATCTCAGAATTGATCCTTAACTTTTTCATTGTAGTCGTTGGTAGGCCCATAGCATTGGATGATGTTCATTGTCATGCCCTCTTTCTTTGTTTTGAAGGAGGTTTTGACGATCCTGGATTCATGAGACTCCCATCCTATAAGTGCTTTTTGTGCTTGGTTGGATAGCATCAGTGCAACTCCTTGTATATGTGGGGCATTCTCTTCTTCATTACCAGAGTGTAACAGCTCTCCTGAAGCTAGGTTTTGTTGTCCAACCTTCTTCCAATGTGTTTTACTGATTCGAAGTACCTCCAGGTTATATCTTTTCATTTCTACAGCAACATGGATGACTCTCCCGGTCTTCCACATTGTACGAACATTCCATGTACCTAAATCAACCATGTCTAGTTGTCAGAATGGGTGTATCAGCCTCGTAACTTCCGAAGGAACTTGGCTTTCATCATGAGACATCATAACTTTTCCAAATGAAGACATTCTAACTCTCATTACAGAGTTTAGGCGGTTTAAATTAATTTTTCTGGTTGGCGTTTTTTAGCGAGTTATTTTTCTACGGGATGGGGTTGCTAACCCCATGCACAACCCTCCTCCTTTATCCGGACTTGGGACCGGCAGTAACCCCAGAGGGGCTCCAGGCGGAGTTTTAATTCCCATACTCATCAGAAAAACCCATAAGTTTATGAAGAGGTGTTGAATTTAACAACTAGTATATATGGTACATAGCTGGCAGTAGGATCCAGGACGTATGTTTTGTTTTATTTGGGATTTGTCATTTGGATGTGTCTGAATTCCATTGTTTTTGTTCACACTGAGGTCCAGAACGTAATTCCTATCAATTAAGCATGGATACATTATCGACCAAGTTACTGAGTCCGTATAGTCACTAACGTGTTCAGCTGGGCCTCTATATATCCAACTTTTCATCCCAAAACTAATACATGATCATTTACTAAACTTCTTGGAAGACTTATCGGAACTGTATCCACAACTAAAACATCCAGAATTAGTGCGTAATAATTCACTATTGTGTCAGTGATTTAGAATCATATTTTCACTTTTTGTAGACTTCAAGTAACATCAATATAATCCAACCATTCTCGTAGCATCAGTGTAAAATATCAGTTGTAGATTTGTAGATCAAATCCTAGTTAACATTTTTCGGACTATTTTCCCTAAGTTTGACTTTGATCTTTAAAAAACCTTATATTAGTCTTACAAATAAAGAAATCCGCCAACATTAAACTTTATCCGGTATTATGCAATAACAATAGATTCCTTTTGATGTAATTTCAGTGGTCGAAATCATTTAATGAGTGATCATAACAAACCTAGTCTTAGCATTCAAATTAAATTCGAGAAAACATTTCTGTTTATATTGACCTAATGCCATACTTTAGTATTGGCTAAGTTTACATAGATATTTTATTTAGTTTTCAATGGAATGTATTCATAAGTTTGCCTAACCAGAAATCAATTCATCTGTTATTGGACTTAAATTATTGAGAACGAAGAGTTTATTATTTAGTATTTTATCTCAATATATTTATCTACTCATTAGTAGTTAGATCAGTCGAACAAAATGTACACAGAAGTGAAAGTTGAATTTCATAAGAAAATAATTATTTGTAGTATACTATTAATTTTAATGTTTTCTTCCTTTACAAAAAATTCACAGGAATGGAAATCAAGGTTATAATGATAGATTATTTAATACTATTCATAGTTTGTACAAGTTGTTCAGTAAGTGACTTTTCCATGGATCTTAAGTGTCGAAGATTTCCATCAATTCCCTTAAAACGTATACCATATGTCTGAAATCTTGGCAAATGTACAACTTCCATTTCCCATTTTAACAAAGAAGGTATTTTATCACGGTTGTAACTATTTTTATAAAGCTTACC